CATGCGCAGCTTGAGGCTGAGAATCCTAAACACACACTCCTCCTCCCCCTGTCTTGTTTTCAAATACAATCTTGAGCTTGAGGGTCTTGTTTGTTGTTAACTGATTTTTTTCCCCCAAAAGGTTGATTGGGTATCTTCCCTGTGGAGAGCTATGTTTGAGCCATTCATTTTATAGGCATATGTAGATAAATCTCAAGGAGTCAGGAGTGTGTTTATTCCACAAAGTCCCCTTTCCTACTTGATGGCTGAGGGGAGGAGGAGGGCCTCACAGGTGGTGAGGCCTCTGAATGCCGTTGTCTTGGAAACCGTGCTGCTGCTCACCTCCACAGGGTCCCTTGTTCAGGCAGGGGGCCCTGGAGTGAGACAACAGCCCTCCCCACTCTGATGTCTTCCTGGGAACAGAGGTTGAAGCTGAGAGCCGAGGTTGGTTACCAGGGAGACTGAAGCCGGATCCTTGAGATTCGTGAGTAAAAAATGACGTATGTGGAATTTAGGACGCAGGATGGATTATGGGAACCTGCCCACGGTTATGGAATTGTGCTCATGATTGCGCAGGCACACTGGTGCACACACACAGTCATGTTGTGCACTCACCAGCACACCTTCTACCCAGACGTGCACAGTGCCACCGTCTGGCTGGAGCATCAAGTGCACATGGGGGATGCAGGAAATGTAGGCAGGACCCAGAAGAAGGAAAGAGAGAAAGCAACAGATTCCTTACTGTTGTAGAGAAATGACTGCACACCTTTCCCCCGTGACTAACTTCCACGTGTGCATTACATTTTTAAAACATCTTTATTGAGGCATACCATGAAATTCATGCAACTAAAGGTACAATGCAGTGACGTTCAGTACATTCATGCGGTTGTGCAACCATCACCACAACCCTGTTTCAGAATGCTTCTATCCCTTGCCCCCAAAAGATTCCCTCATACCCATGTAGCAGTCAATCTCCATGACTACCGCCAGGCCCAGGCATTCCCTATAAACTGACTCATGCAAGAAGCGGACTTTCCCCTCTCCCCACTCCCCGGGTTCTGGCCATTAGGAAAATATTTTCAAGTTTCAAACAAGCCATAGCATGTACTAGTAGTTTGTCCCTGTACTTTGCTCATTAATATTCTACTATATGGATACCTGAATTCCACTTTTTCATTTTTTAATTTTATTTTTTCCACCTTTTATTTATACCTTCAACAACTGGCAGGCATTTAATTGTCTTCATCTGGGGCCATCATGAATAATATTGCCATAAGCATGGAGTACACGTTGTCTTAGCCTGTTTGCTGTTGCCAATATCCTCAACTTGGGAAGGTATAAAGGAAAGAGGCTTATTTTGGCTCGTGGTTCTGAGTCGAGGTTCCCCATCTGGCCATGGCCCTCTTCCCGGCAGGGTCCCCAGGTGGAGTAGGGCATCTCGTGGCAGGGAGACATGGAGCATCAGAGAGGGTACCGTCCTAACTGGCTTTCATAGCAGACCCACTCTCCAGATCAACCCATTAACCGCTTACCCGATTCGTCCTAGACTAGTCCATTGGTGAGGGCAGAGCGCTCATCACCTCTCACAGGCCCCTCCTAAGATCTCAAAATGGGGATTCAATTTCAACATGAATTTTGGAGGGGACAAACCACAGCACGTCTCTGTGTGGTCATGTGTTTTCCTTTCTAATGTATCCACGTTTCCACTTCTTTTTCTTACATGACTGTGCCAGATAGAACCTGTGGAGAGAACGGTGGGAACGAGCATCCTTGCCTTGCTCTCAGTCTTACGGCTAAAGTGTTTGTTATTTCACTACAATATATAATGTCAGCTGTAGGTTTATGGTAGATGCTGTTTATAGGTTGAGAACCTTTCCTTCTAACCATGTGGGGTTGGTTGAGAAATTCTTTTTCCATGAATGTGTCTTGGGTTTTGTCAAACGCCTTTTCTTTTTCTATCAAGATGATGATGCCGCTTCTGTCCTTTATTATATTAACATGGTGGATGACCTTAATTGAAATTGGAATGTTAACCAATCGTGGATTCCTAGGAGAAATTTTACCTGGAAATGTTGCGTAACATTTTGTATCTGTTGCTGGATATGGTTCATGAATATTTTCTCTATTTTTGGTGCTACTGAGGATGGAACCCAGGGCCTCACACATGCTGGTCATGCGCCCTACCACTGAAGTACACTCCCAGCCCTGTAAAAATAATTTTTCTTTTTCAATTTGCAACGGGGCCTCGCTAAGGTGCTCAGGACGGCTTCAAACTTTTGAATCCTTCGGCCTCAGTCTCCCAAACAGCTGGGATTACAGGTTTGCACCTCTACACCTGACTCGTTCATATTTTCTTCAGCCTTTTTGTGTCGATATTCATGGTGGATATCGGTCTGTCGCATTCCTGTGATGTCTCTGTCTGGCTTTAGTAGCAGAGTAAACGCTCTTCACCAAATGAGTTGGGAAATGCCCCCCAACCCCCCACCCTCTTCCACATTCTGGAAGCGTCTGCAAAGGATTGGTACTATTTCTTCTTTAAATGTTGGGTAGAATTCACCCCCAAAGTCACCTGGGCCTGACTTCTCAATTGTGAGAAGATATTTTTCATTTCCTCTCTCCATTTCATAGGAATGCTCTAAATCTGTCCAGGTTTTCATCCTGTGCATCCATTGTAACCTTTCTCTGCCCCAGTGTTTTCTTGCCTGCTGGTACCTTTCATTCAGTGTCCTGTTTAGAATTTGACATGTCGGATGTCTGTGGACACCATGAGATTCCAACTCCTAGCCTGTAGCTTTGGATAGTCTGATGTCCGAGACATCCCTTCCAGAACCCCTCCTACAACCCATCTATGGGTATAGAGACCTTTGTCTTGGAGGCGGGGATACGGTGCCATTCTCCACACGATCTCCTGCTTACTTTGATTTGCTCTGTAGTAATGAATTCCTCCACAAGCCCTCCATGTCTGCATGGAGGAGCCCCAACGGGGTTCCTTCTCACTGCTGTCACACCCTGAACAAACCGCCCCACACAAGGGATCGATTGCCTGCTCCCTAGCCCATCCGTTGGTGCATGCTATGGTTTGAACCTTTTTGTCCCCTCTGAAACTGATGTGCAAACTTAAACCCCAATGTGCTAGTGCCGGGGTTGGGTGGGGTGGGCTGTGGCCTAACGGAAAGTATTCATGTCCCCAGGGATCTTCCCTCATGAATGCATTAATTCTGTTAAAAGGGGGCTTGTGTGAATGGGTTTGGCTCCACTGCCATGAAAGGAACGACGTCCATCTCCGCTTGCCCTTCCACCTTCTGCCATGTGAGAAGAAGGTCCTCACCAGAAACCAGACGCAGGTACTTTGATCTTGGACTTCCAGGCATCCAGAACCATGAGAAATAACTTTCTCTTCTGTATTAATTGCCCAGTCTGTAGTATCTTGTTACAAAAGAGACTGAGACAGTGCCCAATCTTCCCCCCTGATTCAATGCTCAGTGCCTAAGGGCAAGGACCAAGGGCACCATTCTGCCTCATTTCCCCACCACAACCATCAGCATGGCCTAGACTAGAGGGAGTTAAAGTGTGGAAATTGAACCCCGGGGGATTGGTTTAAAGCTTGGTCATCACTGGCATCGCAGAGCTGGTGTGGCCGATGAACTGAGGATGGTGAGGCGAGGTCTGAGGAGCGTGACTCAGTGTGTGGGGAGTCAGACAAAGGCTTGCCTCTCTGGCCACCACTTTACAACCTCCACTGACTCTCAGCGACAAATAAGCATCCCTGCCCTGTTGCGCTGTGCTGAGGATTCAACAACACATCTTACCAAGACTTGGTCCTTGAAGGCATGAGGTGTCAGTAAGGTGACTTTGCAATAGCCATTACAAAGGGGGAACAGGTTCACGTTGCCAGCTAGAATCCACCTTGCCTAGGCTTGTGTGCCAGTTCCGCCTCTTGCCGCCCAGGGGACCCTGGCCAAGCTCTCTACTGTGGGACTGACATTGCTCCTAAGTGATGGGTCTGTGGTGGGGATAAAAAGAGCTAACATATAGAAACACGCAGGACATTGTCTGACACCTGGTAAAGAACCAGCCAACGTGCATCACCCTGTCATCCCTTCTGAACACTGCAGAATCCCCGTTCTAGGATTTAGGCCTTTGAGTTTCAGGAAAGAATTCGCCCTTCTTTGTTTACCCTCTCCCTTGGAACTGGGAGACGATCCTGATCGGGTCAGTTTAGCTCTCAAGTTCTCTGAGGGGATCCCAAGTTGAAAATCTAAGAAACTTACCTGCTCTCAAGCCACTTGTGTTGGCAGGAGACGCGCAGACTTCTGCAGCAATGTAGTGCTGGGGCCTCCCTAAAAACAGACTGACACAAAGCAGAATTTGTTTTCGGCTCAGAGGAATCACATGGTCCGTGGCTGGGTACACATCACGGGCTTCTGTAGGGGAAAATAGGTAGATTTAATCACTCAGGCTTCCTGAAATCAAAAGACAACGTGTCTAAATCCAGATACAGTTTTGAAATAACTCAGTGATGCTCTGGTTCTCAGGAAGCAGGAGGGAAACTGCTGTACACTTTCACCAAACCAGTGCACCGGGCGACAAGGAATGGCCCTGGACCCCTCAGCCAGGGCATCAGCGGCAACCAGCATGGGCTCCTACTGGGATCTGGGGACCCTGCTTCCAACCTCGCTGCCTGACTGGTCTGAATGCTGGTCCCACTACAGCACCTGAAACAGTGATCGGACAGGGTTCTTGAGCCCCCTTCTCCCCCGTTCTGAATCTCCACAGTGCAGAGCTCCTCTTGACACGCTCTGGTCTGCTGGTCGGGGATGTCAAGGTCCAACAAGAAACAAACCACTATCGATCAACAAACCTGAATTCTAAAGTTACTTTCCTTTCATACACGTGTTTATTTGGTATTGACGATGAGGTACCCCATCTTCTGCACGGGGGAATACTACTCAATGGTTAAGGAGCAGGGAAACATTTACTTACAGTTAGCTTATCATAGTCATAATAGTTTACACAGACAGTACAATAGTGAGCCACCAAGTTCCAATGCCACATCCCTTTCCCACACTTTGTTTAGCTGCAGATTCTTGAACCTGGATCTCAGTGTTGCGCACCGCCATTTCAAACAGCCCTAGCACTGCTCCCAGGAGGCAGTTGATAAAACGGCACAAAAGCACAAGGACATGAACAAGGCATTCACACTACATAGACATCTTATATCTTACTGACAACAAGGTAGGGAGCAAAGACGCAGATCCAGGCTGGGAAAGCGACAACATGCGGCATGGGAGCCATATGGGATGAGGTGAGGTCCACTGGTGTGCAGTCTCCCTTGCCCCAGGGTGCCTCACAGCGCTTCACAGATGACAGGCAGGAAGAGGAGGACCTCCCTGGGAGTGGGTCAAATCTCACGCCAATAGGAATCCATCCAGTCACACAACTAGTCTTGGGACTCCTCCAACAACAGCTGACTGTTTGGTCCCCAGAAGGAGCCCACCCCCAGGAGCTGGCAACACAGCACTGTCTGAATCCCTTCAGGTCTCCGCCCCATGAAAGGGGGCAGGGGGCTCTCAGTTTTCTTCCAACCACTGCTTGAGCAGCCTCTGGAACATTCTCTTGCTTTCCTGCTGTTTCTCCAGTTGGCACTTCTCCTCTTGCTCCTGCTGCTGCTGCTGTGCCCCTTCTGGCAGAAGGCCAGACCGGTTGGTGCCCAGGCTGAGGGTCAAGCCGCTGAGGCCCTGCACTAGCGTTTCCCAGGAGGAAGGGTTGGGGGCCCCATTCCTCTCGCCAGAGAGCCCAGAAATACTCGGCCTGTGGCCCTGGCAGTAGCGACATTCACATCGGAACCGATTCTGAGCTCTGTCGCCTGTGGGGTAGACCCTGGTCTCCCTTTCCACTGGGTAAGGTGCCATGTGATCGCGGTGCCTGCGTCTCAGGTGGCCCAGGAATGCTTTCTTCCTCTGAGGGAAGCCCAGCCGCTCCCAGCGCCGCTCCCGCAGGGTCTTCTCCTCCCTGTACTGCTGCTGGAACAGCCCCTCTGGCAGAGGGGAAGGGAGGCCAGGACCAGGACTGGGGTTCAGGCCGCTGAGGCCCATCATTAGCTGTTCCGAGGAAGAAGGCTGAGAGGCTGCCGTGCCCTCCTGCGAGTTCTCCCCAGCGGTCACCTGGGAAGATCCGGAAACCAATGCTGGGTTCCATTTCTGGAGTGGATCCATGGGGGTCCAGTTAGAGCTAGAAGCTCCGCCCAGCCCGGGGGTCTAGCCGGGAAGGTGAAGCTGGAGGTTTTCGAATAGCTAAGAGGTGGCGAGGGAAGCGTGTGGCCAGAACACACCAGACTGCAACAAAGGGTGACAAGAGAAGAAAGAAAACCCATGATTATTCATCTTACTCCACCTTTCTGTCCCTCCGCTTCCTAGGTGTAAAATGGGGCTGGTGATGAGACCCACCTTCTAGGCTTCCTCCGAGGATGACATGAGATAACACATGTCCAGAGCTTAGAATGCTGATGGCATAGCATAAAGGTTTGAGAAATGGCACCACTGATGGCATCCATGAGGCATGTGATGTAACATGGAGAAACATATTGAACGAGGTTAACTCCGTGCAGATTCTTTGTAACCCAGGCTCAGGAACGATGATAAGAACAAGCAATGCCTGACTAACACGTGCTCTTCTCATAAGCATTCGAATACTTTCATCGAGTAGACTTTCAGTAAATTGTACATATTTGTACCACGGTGACAACACACCCTTGGGAATTTCTGCCTTCACGATCAGTGGCTTTACATCTAGTTAAAAAGGCTGCTTGTACTGATGGAAAGCATCTCAAAAGTCCCGATACGTCTAACTAAGAATTTCTTCTACTAAAAAACCAGGAGGTAAAACCACGACAATGCAAACAACACATGTAGGGGGGGTGGGGGGGGCGGCGAAGGCGGGGGAGAAAAAAGAATGATGAATCTCCATTAAATGGAAAACTGGTTCTTTGAAATGATCAATTGATACATCTTTAGCAGGAAGGGCAAAAGAGGGAGGAAAGAAGGTATAAATAGCAGGGATGGCAGAAGAGATTTCACTACAGACTCGGAGAACAAAAAGAACAACGTGGTCAGACTGCAGTCAGCTCCATGAAAATAAATGCTACACCTTAGTTGAAATGGACCAGTTGCTGGAAAATTGTAAGCCACCAAAATTCACCCAGGGTGAAGTAGCGTAGACAGTCCTCTATCATTTACAGAAACTGAACTGGTAGTTGAGAGAGAGAGAGAGAGAGAGAGAGAGAGAGAGAGGGGGGGGAGAGGGAGGGAGGGAGGAAAGAGAGAAAGAGAGAAAGAAAGAAAGAAAGAAAGAAAGAAAGAAAGAAAGAAAGAAAGAAAGAAAGAAAGAAAACCTTTGCAAAACGATCTCCAGGCCCAGAGAGTCTTCCTGGCCAATTCTAACAAACATTCAATGAAGACATCACACCAATTGTACACAATCTCTTCCAGAAATCAGAGCAGAGGGAACACTTGCAAGCGATGCCATGAAGGTAGTATTGTACTGATACCTGGAAAACTTCAGACTGGTGCTTTATCAGCAAAAGCCCAAAATTCCTCAACAAAATACACAAGAGCTCCAACCCAGCAGTATGTGAAAAGAATCACAAACCACAACCAAGTGGGTTTCACACCGGGAATGCAAAGGTAGTGCTTTCTCTTGCCGAAAATCAACATAATCCCATAGAGGTTGAGGTCAGGCAAAGAAGAAAAATGACAGCATGATATGAAGGTACGAAGGAAAGCCATTTGACAAGACACAAAATCCACTGATGATATGAAATCCTCTGACACACAGGGAATGGAAGACCACTTCCTGAACCTGCTAAAGGGTATGTGCCCCCAAACCTGCAAGGTCAAGAATGGAATGCTTTCTCTGTAAGGCTGAGAACAAGGTCAGGGTGGTGACTCTCACCACGACTGTTTGATGTCACCCTGGAAGTCCCAGACAGGGCAATGATGTCAGGAAAGGGAGCAGCACACAAATGAGAAAGGAAGAAATCAAATTGCCCCTTGGCGTAGATCTCATGACCGTGTATGCTACGTGGAACACCCCAACGTATCTCTGCTCAAACCCCTAGAACTAATAAGTGCATTTAGCAATGATGAAAGAGACAAGGTCAACACATGGAAAACCACCGTGAGCGTCACAAACTGAAACTGAAAAGCAACACACAAGGGAATAGGTACGTACGAAACCAACGACAACAACAAAAAATTTACAGGAAGTGCCTGCAGAACACCTTAAGATCCTAATGAAAGAAATCAAAGAGGACCTAATTCGATGGAGAGAAACAATGCGTCCATGACGTGGAAGAGTCCATGTGGTAAAATAGTTAATTATCCCCAAGTTGTTCTGTAGAACTAAAGCAATCAATTCCCATCGAGATCCTGGCAGGAGTTCTGTGTACATACACAGTCTGATTCTGCGCTTCACCTGGAACGTCCAAATTTTCAAAAACAATGATGAATTTGGGGGAGGTCTTGCCAGAGTTGCAGTAATCAAGACTGCCGTCTTGGAAAGGAGTAGCCAGGTAGATTAACGGGAGAAAATAGAGTCCCTAAACACACCCACGAAAATATGAGTTCTGATAGAAATGCGAAGGTAAATTCAAGAGAAGGGAGAATCTTTCCATTGAAAGTGTTGCATATCCGTGTGCCAGGATACCAACCTCGACCCCACCATTTTTATACACGGCTAACTGAAAATGGTTCAGACGTCTAAAAGTGAAAAGTCCACTGGTGAGCCTCTCAGTAGACAACACAGGAGAACATCTCCGGAGCCAGAGGACAGGAAAGAGTAAGTCTTGAACGCGACAGCAAAAGCACGATCCATGAAAGAAAGAAAACTGATTAAACAGACTCCATCAAAATGTAAAACTGAAGCCAGGAATGATGGCACACACCTGTAGTTCCAGCTACTGGGGAGGCCGAGGGAGGGAGGATCAGTTTCAGACCAGCCCGGGCAATACACAGAGACCCTGTCTCTAAAACAAAGGAAGGAATAAAAATTTCAACCAGCTTTGGCTTGGAAAAAGACAGTGTGTCGAGACGATGAAAAGCAGAGCTATGCATAAGGATCACAGATCTGACAAAGTCTTATATCCAGAGCATAGAAAGAAAGCGTTTGCAAAACTTACCGCTAAGAAAACAAAAAACCCCAAAGACTTGCATGTGAGCACGTGAAACAATGTTCAACATCATTAACCATCAGGGACCTGAACATTAAACCCGTGATGACAGTATCCCCTTACACAGTACTATGACGGTTAAATGAGAAGCACTGGAAGTACTGAGGGCCGGAAGACAGACTGAACAAATGGAACCCTCACACTTTGCTGGCGAGAAGGCAAAAGACTACAACCACTCTGAATCTAGAGTGATGCTTTCTCCTAAGCTAAACCTGTGTTCCCCTGAGGACCCAGGAATCCCATGCCTGCCTCTACCCTGGACCAAGAAAAACCTGGGTTCCCACAAAAGCCAGCACACAAATGTTTGCAGCAGCTCTTTCCTCAGATGAAAGGATAAACTGTGGTGTCCACACAATGACAAGCTGCTCGGCATTCAAAAGGAATAGAGTATTGCTCTGAGATTCACCAAGATGTTGCATTATGCTAAAAGAAGGAGGCCCATCTTGGAAGGCCACAGGCTTCCTGGTTTCAGATCCATGACCCTCTCTAAAACACACCACTGCAGGTCAGGGGAACAGATCTGTTTTTACCAGGGAGTAGGGGTGGGGAGGTGTGTCTGCAAAGGGGCAGCAACAAGGAGTGTTGTGGGGGCAAAGGGCGAGTACACGGTCCTGATCGTGGTGGTGGCTACGAGCAGCTATACATGTGATAAAGCCTGCAGAACCGTACTCAAAAGAAAACAAAAATGTTGGTCTTACTGGGTGGTAGTTGAGAAACCCAAATGGCAGACTTTGCCACAAGGGCATCTCTCTATATTTTCTCAATACTCATGTCCTGAAGGAGTCTAAAAACGCTTCACATGCAATGCCAGACTGAAACTTCAGGGCAGCAGCCCAGGCTCTGTCCTTCTAGCCAACTTGGAAACCAAGAATCCACCAGTTTTCTTCAGAGCATACTGGCAATTGGGAATTTGTATTAACCAAGCATCAGAGCAGGAAACACAGAACAATATTAGAAATGTTTCAAATCATCTGACCTACAAACACAGACAAAGGTCCCAGAGAGAGTCTCCCTTAACACGTCAGTAAGTGAAAGCTGTTGTTTCTCAGGAGTTAGTCCAGTTACATCCTCTGGGCCATCGCCCTCCCACGTAAATGCTTATGTGTGAAACATCTGGAAACTGATCTTAGCCCCGTTACCTCCCCAACTGATTTTTCACATGTCACAGGGACTCCCTCAGGATCATATTTCCTCATATGGAAAGGCGATTCTCGCAGAAAGAAAATCATTCTCACGAACACCGTTTTGTGAAGAAAAACCAAGCCTTTGGAAACATCAATTCATAACTGACCTGTGTCTTAATCACCCTTTGCTCTCCCTCTCTCCCCACACCGTTCCCGTGAACTATTTCACTGTCCTATCTCCAAACCACACACAAGAAGGTCCTCATGATCTTCTTCAGAGCCATCAAAGGCACCGGGGCCTAGAGAAGTCCCCTATTTGGGGGGAGGGGAGCAGCCGAGTCAATCACTATGACTTCCCATCCTTCATTATCTTATTCCTTTTCCTTTTTTCCACTGTCCCTTGTCCCAGAGGGATAAAGATCTCATATCAAATGTCTGCTGCAAGCACCATGGTTCTGGATTTACTTCATCTTCACACCCAGCTTCTGAAGAGAAGGAAAGGACCACTGGACAAGAATGAACCCACCAAGTTTACTGGTCTGAGCTCAGTTCGGCAGGTGATGTCCCTCAGCAACCTCTTTGCCCACGGCTCTGGTGAATCTTACTTGTCAGTTCGGCTAGGCTACGGTGCCCAGTTGCTCAAACATTCATCTAGGTGTTGTTGTGAAGGTATTTGTGGGGGTGATGAACTTGCACAGTCACTAGACTTTAATTAAAGTCCACTGCCCCCATCACGTGAGTGGCCTTCAGCCAATGAGCTGAAGGCCGCAAGAGCAGAGACTGAGGCTTCCCAAGGCAGAAGCAACTCAGCCTGAAGACCACAGACGCCCTGCCCGAGTTCTCAGCTTGCTAGCCTGCCTGCAGATTTCAGCCTCAAGACTGCAACTGTCATGTGAAAGTCCAGTGGTGTCATCTGCCCTCTGGATTTCAGACTTGCCAGTACTCAAGATCCCGGGGAGCCGACTCCTTAAAACCCATCTATCCATGTGCAGATGGATATAGATACGCACAGATGCAGAGGCACACGGATGTCCTATTGGTTTGGTTTTTCCGGAGAACCTTGATTCATGTACTCACAACATACCACATCTTCCTGAAGTCCAACCCAAGAAACATTTACCGAGCTGCCATACTATCAAGTGCCAGGTGGATGACAAGATGTTTGACAGAAAACAGCCTCTGTTGACTTAGCGTCTTCCACGTGCCAGGAAACGTGGGCTGAGAGTTCCACATCCATTATCTCGTTTGGTCTCATTTTATAAATGGGGAATCAGAGGCCTATGGGGGAGAAAGATGTCGGTGGCAGGGCCCACATTGGAATCTGGAGTGTGAGAGAGAGCTGGGGAGTAGTCTGGAGAATGGGGAGATGGGTTTGAACAGAGCAGATGGGACCAATTCATGGAGGACTTCCAAGCCACGCAGGAGCAATAAAAAGTCACACCCTCTGTGCACTGTCCTGGGGCATCCACCAAAGCAGAAGCAGCCCCAAACTACTGAGGATAGAGCTGGAGCTGAACTGGATGGATCCACACAATAGAAGGCGAGGTGTGTTTATGGCTCCCAGATGGGGAAACCACCATGCAATGGCCAGCATTCTGGTGAGGCCCAGAAGAATGGGGCGGAGAAAGAAAGGCTCCTGGGCTGGCCAGAGAATGCTAATGTGACACTTACATTCTTTTCTCTAGGGTTCCCAGCATGGCCTGGGCCCCGCCTTCCTCCAGTGTGTCCCACAGAGGCACTGGCGGTTCTAATCATCGGAAACTATATTGCTCCCTCAAATAAAATCCACAACAGTCACTGTATCAGGCAGTCAGCTTTAGACAATGAGTGAAGAGGAATGAGACCTAAGCAGAGAGGTAATTTGCCAACTCACAAAACAGAGTGAAGAGGAAGGGTGGGCCCAGGCCAGGTATAATCTGTGACCCACCAGTGCCACCCAGGATCATCTGTTGGAGCTCTCCTTTTCGGCCATATCAGTTCTAGGACTGACATCGATACATGCCAATGTCCAAGGACAGGAAGGCACTTTCTACTCTCTGTATCTCTGCTGTAGCAAGCGAACAGACCAGAAGCCCCCACAGACATTCCCTCTGGGTTAGTTCCCCATTCCTCAGTCAGTGGGGAGCCGGTGGAATGGATGACCATGGCAGTCTTGGATGAGAGATTTTGGAGGGGAGTGGTGCCTTGGAGGACTTTCACCTCTTATCCACCCTTGGGGAATCAGCTTAGAAAGAACTTCCTCCAGGAGGCCTTCTCTGGCCTCTTCCCCAAGCCCTAGATGAGCTCGCACAGCACCCTGAATTTCCCCTCTCCCAGCCCCAGCCCCATTCAGTTAGCATCAGATGGTTCTGCCTGTCTCACTCACTAGCCCAGAAGCCAACAGTGGCCAGCGACTTGGCAGAATTTGCCCATCACAGAGCCCCGACTCCGGTGGACGTTCACGAACAGCCTGCAAATGAAGTAAGAAGAATTTGGGGTCCTCCACAAAATGTCTCACTCTGTAAGTAAAACCCTGTACAATCCGTACTGTCCCATGTTGCAAGGAAGCAAATTCCTGCACCACAAAGTTGGGTAATAGCCCTAAGGTCATACATCTAAGACAGGGGCAAAATTCCATGCCATGTCTGTCTGTCTCCAGGTGCGTGTTTCTCTTAGGGGCAGGGCACTGCCTCTGTGGATTATCAACCCGCATGGAAGCCCGAGTTACAAAGTAATCCTGCGGGGGAGAGGCCAGCCAGGAAAGTCCTGGAGGCTGGCCCACGTGTCCAGAGCTGGTCCAGGGATCAGGCAACTGTCACAGCCAATGTTTACCTTCCCTTACTGGTACCAGGCTCTGTTCTCGGTGCTTGGAATGCTGTCCTCAACAAACCCTGCTCAAACCTCGTGCCTTCATCAGCTTGCATTCTAGCCCAGGTGAGCAGAAGGTAAATAGCGGAACAAGTAAATGCATACAGTGTGGGGGTGATGAGCACTGGGAAGAGAGCTGTGCTGATTTTGACGACTGAGACAAGGACACACGATACTTTTTCCAACTCTGCCTAATGTGATGACATATCCTTATAAAATGAGTCCATTTCAGTTCGGAAGAACTGAGTTCACATACTACTATCAACTACATAATACTACGATGGTTTTCCAGAAATGGCAAGACTCTACCAAAAATGGCTGAGATCCGTGCAAGGTCACTGTCTGCTGAAAAGTGTATGCCCACCTTATACAACGCCAGGGAAAAAGGAGTCTGAGTTCCAGACAATGCAGTGCCACGCTGCTGTTCTGTATCTTTGTCACCTGCACGGATTAGCTGTATTCTCCTCTATCAGGAAGAGAGGGATAGTCTTGTCAGCGGCTCTGCTGCAAAAGAACATGGACATTAGCCAACACTCAGTGATGCCCGCTTTCCAGCATGAAAGAAGAAAATGAAGACCAATGAAACGTGGTCCCGGCATGGCATTTGGGATCTTCCTGTAGGTGGGCCCAGAAGACACAGACAGGGAACCACAGTGGGAGTTCAAAGGGGTGGGGGCAGGGAAAGGGTGAAGAGGAGGAGAGGCTGAAGCAGCAGGAGGAAGACAAGGGAAAAGTCTCCTCTTGCAAAGTGAAGAGCTCACCTGGTCACCCGGGTCACTGATCACTAGGTTCACATCGTCAATGCTGCTGATGCCATCGCGAGTGAGATCTATGCCTCTCACCTACAAGACAACAAAACCTGAATGGTGAGGTGTATTCACCTAACACTTCTTTACTGATGGCACACTCTGTTCAGAGGTCCCCTCAGTGAGGTACCCAAAGTAGCCATACCCCGAGAACAGAGCTCAGCCCCAGTAAGGAACATTCTAAGGTATAATATAAAGCAGAAGGAAAAAAAAAACCCTAGGCTAGCTACATTGTTACTAGAAACCTAAGAAGAGAGTAGAGATAGAAGACACAATGCTTCTCACCCCATCTCCTCCGAATAAGCAGAAATTCAAGCACAGGACCTGCCACGCCGGCTCATTCACTATATATATATATTTGTATATATATATATTTATATATATATTTGTATATATATATTTGTATATATATATTTTTTTTTTCCTCCCACCCGAGTAACAGCTGGTCTGACAGTTCCTATTCCCAACGAAGGGGAATACATGGCTACTGTGCTCATAGTATATGGCTCTGGACTCTCTACTGTGTGGGGATAAAAGACACAAATACTCTCTGCATGGACGGAAAATGAAGTTGATATACTTTCTGCATCCACTCCTGCACACTCTATCCTCCTTGCAGGATAAGAGTCCTCAGCAGGCTCCCAGTCTTTGGGGGCAGGGAGCCAAACTGAAGATGAGGAAGAGGACCTGAGCTGGGGGAGCTGAAAACTCAGAGAAGGCCCCGAGGCCCAGGTGGTCAGGAAGGGCTTCTCCATGGGCGTGGTGCCCTAGGGAAAACGCAGGTTACCTATCCCTTACCTGACATACTCAGGGACAGAAGTATTTCAGAGTGTTTCGGGTTTTGCAAAATTTTCATATACCTAATGAGATTCTCTGGGAGGGGGACCCACTGAATTCATTTACGAGTCATACACACCTTGTACATACATACCCTAAAGATAGTTTCATATGATATCTTTAATTAAGGCGCCTGTGTGTATGTGTGGATACCCACTGGGGAGTGAACCCAGGGCTTCAGGCATGCTAAGTACATACACCCTCTATCACTGAGCTACCCCACCCCCAGCCACTCTCAGAAATTTTGGGTTTTGGGAACAGTTCGGATTGTGGAGTGTCAGATGACGGAGGCTCAATCTGTATTATCGCCCTTACTTGCAGATGAGGTACGTGAGGATCAGAAATGTTCAGCCACTCACTCAAGGTCACGGAGCTAGGTTGTGATGCTGGCCATTTCTCCGCTAGGTCTGTTAAAATACAAATATCTCTGTACCTTTCATCACACCAATCTCTCCTCTCACTACTGTCCCCTGTTTCAGTTTCCATCCGCCATCTTATACTTACCTGTGGCTCTCCTTACCTTTAAATTCTCATAATCTGATAAATATCAAATACAGATGGGGTGTTAGCATGGGATCATTACTCTAAGAACATAAATTTTCCTTGCAACGCACCAGAATCGAACATTTATCTTTAGTTTATCTGCCACCCACACGCCGGGTCAACAAAATGGATCTGGGGCTTAGTTTTAACTCAGCTAGTCACACAATCCCAAGTCTGATTTCCAATGTAATGGACATCTGACTGCAAAGAGCATGACCAGCGCCTCCCTACGAAAATCATTCCCAGAGCATTTTCTCAAATGCCAGTGATGGTCCAGGCTAAGAGACACTTTGACAGGGAGCTGTTGGGATTCTGCTCCTGAAAACAGAGAACGGCTTCCTCTCTGGCCTTTCTCCCTGTTGCTGGTACCCCAAGAGGCTCAGCCAAGCAAGGCCACTCACTGGCCCTTCTTGGACAAAACTAACAGCACCCTGACACACGCAGGTCAACACACAAATGCAACACACCCCATAGGACCGTGTGAATCTAGGGAAACCGCAAGGGAAGTGCCAGTGGAAATCTGTCAGCCTATCATGACACCAAATTTCTGATCCCACCCAGGTCAACTGCCCAGGATCGGCTGCACTGCAGCCAACGGGACGACCAAAGATGCCCTCCCTCTCTGAACATCACACACTGCAGCTCGAATAGTGATTTGATGGAAAAGGTCCAAACACTTGCATGCGAATGCAGGAATCACAGAGCCTACTAAGAGCCTGCCTGCTTCTAAGTCACATCCTGAGCCCTCTGGCTCTCACGCATCCTGGGAAGACTTTCTCTGACGTTTCCATTTGGGAAATGTCGCCTTCCTTGAAATCACTTCAGAGATTTTTGTCTCCTATGGTGGGGTGGGAGATGAGGCGGAGTGGGAGGCGATACCGAGGAAACAGGTTATTTCTGAACCTGTTGAACACGGATTCGAGCCCGATCGCACCCAGCTGCTTAAGGATGCCCACAGGAAGTTTCAGTCCTATCTCTCGGCTTCAAAACGCCGGGCCCCAGCTAGAGAAAGAGAAATACGCCACACTCAGACTGTCCACCCGCCATTCTGATAAGGACGAGATGGGGCGTCTGAGAAAAACAACGGTCCCCTCGGAAAGCGCCCTTCACGGCTGGCCAAAGGAGGACTCCGGTCCCAGGACCCACAGGCGCACCTGGCCTGGTCCAGGAGGTTCTCTCCGAGTCTCTCCCCCACCCCCTTCTCTTCTCCTTCTCTCACCCAGCCGGTGCCAGGGAGACTCTGTCTCTCCCCCTCGGCCTCCCTCTCTCTCCGTCTCTCGGGGTCTCTGGCTCCCTCTGCGTCTGTCTCTCTCCCAGCCCCCTCGCCTCCCAGTCTCTCTCAGTCTCTCCCTGTCTCTCTGTGGCTCCCACGCTCTCCATCTCTCCGAGCCTCTCTCCCACCCGCTTCTCTCTATCTCTGTCGCTCGGGCTCCTTAGGTCTCGGTGTCACTCGGGCTGTCTCACGCGCGGTCTTTCTCCGGAGCGGGTCCGGGCGTCTGCTCGCCGGCGCGCCGCCAGCTCTCCTCAGCCCTGGTAACGCACCGCGGCGCTTGGAAGGAAAGGGTTAAGATCACCGAGAGGAGCCGCCCTCCGGAGGCTAGAGAGGCCGCGCCAGGGAAGGCGGGGTCTGTGGGCCTGGCGTGCGTCAGAGGGCAGGGACGCCTGGGAGGAGGAGAACGGGGACCTGGGTTCGCTGTGGCAGCTGCAGTGCGAGTCGGGAAGGGGACGGCCCCGGGTTGCTCCGCGGAGCGGCCGGGCAGGGGGTCGCGGCCCGCGCGTTCCCTCTCGGCCCCGCGGAGCGGCGGCGTCGAGGCCGCCCGCCGTCCGGGCAGCGCACCGCCGCGGGCCCTCGCGACCTCGAGAGCGCGGGTCCGGGACGCGGCGATGCTCGCCGAGGCCGTGGGAAGAGATTCCGGGCAGCGGAGGTGACGTCACAGGCGGGGCTCGTGGGAACCGGCGAGGGGGTCACGGGAGGCCACCTGCTCGGGGACGGGCTGGCTCGTTCTGGTCTGGAGCGCGCGAGACCGGATACCCGCTCTGTGATTTGGGTTTTTTTCACTAGCTGCTTTTGCAAGGGCGGAAGGAGCCCACCGAGAAGGAACGCGCGTGCGCACGCACACACGCAGAGACATGGAACCCATTGGGGCTGCTGCAGTAGGCAGAGGGCCCTGGATGTGGATACTAGTGTCGCGGCGGGGTGGCTCTTGCCTTTGCTTTTTCGCGAGGAATAGACAGGCTATACTGGGGGAGATTTACGGGGACGGAGGTTATTGATATGATCAGAGGTGCTCTCTGTAAACTGGATGGGGAGTGATTATCGCTGCCCAGCTAGTCGAGGAGAAGAAACTAAGSGCATCATCCTTGAGACAGACAGTGGACCAGGAGTCAGGAGGGCCTGTCATATCCGAGTTGTGTGGGACTGGTGGCCGGGTGGACAGAGTGCAGGCCTCATATCTTTAGTCGCATGGGGAAGGGTGGTCCTTTGTGGTCAGCGTTTCCCAGAGCAGGAAATCATGCTGGAATTTCTTCGCCATGACTTGCATCAGGAGTCAGGAGATGTTCAACATTGTCGACAAGGTCAAACTAAGCAGGGCATCTTTCATGCCTTTCCAAGCAGATCCATATGTATGGAAAGAGATGATCATTTTGCCCTGGAAGTTACTGACCCATGAACAGCATTTTATATTTTCCAGATGGTCGCATACTCATGGTGTAGGTGAAGGCAGAAATCAGTAATTGTCCCAGATGGTGATCATCATCCTCATTTTATAGATGAGGTGACTTTTTGCGTTCCAGTGCTGGATATGGAACCCAGGGACTTGCGCCACCTAGGAATGCCCTCTGCCACTGAACTTTGTCCCCAGCCCCAAATGAGGGCTGGAGCTCAGGTGGCAGAGGTTTTGCCCAGCAGGTTGGCGACCCTAGGTTGGATCCCCAGCACCAAACAAAAATGTTTATAAAGTGAGGTAACGGCCACAGAGAGGTTTCATAACCAGCCCAGAGTTACACAGGGAATAACTGGGCTATCACTGATGCAAATCCAAGTGTCTGTGGCTTCATTACCCCATTCCAGATCCAGATATCTGAATCAGTCCTCCCTCCTAAACTGTAGACCTCTTGAGCCAACTAACCACCCACCAGTCACATTTTTGCACTCAGTGAACTCTGGGGCAGTGGACGTGACCTCCAAGAGAAAAGAGTGGTAGGGAAAGTGGATCCCAAAGCCCGTGCCCTACTGGCTGGAGAGAGAGAGGGCCTATTATCAGGAGCTTGAAGGATGAGAGGAGGAGAGGTTAAGTCTTCCATAGGAGACAGACAATTATGCTCCACGCAGGAGGTGGTCAGCTCGGATTATATTCAATTTACTTACTTTTCCTCCCCCCCCTCCTTCCTGCCAATCTTTCAGCATTTGCAAAACATGCTCTGTGGTGAGCACACCTGAAGCCTGTATGTGGGTAAGTAGAGAGATTCCCATTTTTGCATGGTGAGTACCTGACCATAACCACCACCATGCTTCTGGATAAAAAGAGAACATTCCCCTACACTAAACAGATGAAACTAATTAAGTCATATTTTCTAATTCTTATTTATTATTCTCCAATCACAGAAATGGCATGCTAGGCACTGAGAGGTTAGGTCAGCTCCCCAGAGTCACTGTTGTGGTTGACTCCCACAACAGTTAATGATCAGCATGTCCCAAACTGAAACTGTCCACACCCACCCTCTGCACACCTTTTTCTCCAAGATACCACCTTTTGGTTTTGGTGTTTTGTTTTGTTTTGTTTTACATTTTATTTAGAGACAGGGCATCACTGAGTTGCTTAAGGCCTGGTTGAGTTGCTGAGGCTGGCTTTTAACTCATGATCCTCCTGCCTCAGCCTCCCCAGCCGCTGGGATTACAGGTGTTTGCCATCACGCCTAGCTGCACTTTCTGTTCTGCCTAGGGAGTAGATGGCTGGAAAAGCTTACTGACTTGGCACATGATGAAGATTCCTTATAGATTTCCCAGATGGACTGACTAATTGGAATAGGTCTGAGAGCTGGGCTTCCGGGGCAAGTTTTACTGAGAAATACGATACACAATGGTAAGTGTGGAAGGCCACAGTTTAATTTGATAGACCTCAGTAATCACTTCACTGTGTATGTAGTGCAAAACATCATGTCGTATGCCTTAATTATATAAGATAAAAATAAGCTTAAAGAATAGTGACACCTACGTAAATAGTAATAAAGGCATATGTGTAAAAGATTTCAAGGAAGAGAAGAGCATACATATTCACAAAGATCTTCCCTTCATTCATATGGACCCAATGTTGCATTTGACTTTGGAATTTGCAGTTGCAGCTATAGTTTTTGTACCATGATGGGTTGCAGGTTGGGAGTCTCCCTTGCAGTGGAGAGTTAAGTAGCAGAAACAAGGAATGAATCTGTCACTTTATAGCCTCCTTGACCAAGGAAATTAAGTAAACAAGATTTGATCTGCCCTTGATAACGAATGTTTTGGTGTAATGATGGTCCACGGCAGGTTCCGTCTTAGATACAGTCTGAGCTTTCTGCAGTGACAAAGCATTCTGAGACAGAGGAATGAGTCTGACATAACTTTCCTATGTCTGTATATGTGAATACACCACAGTGAATCTCAACATGGTGTCCATCCACAAGACTGTGATTTTAATTAGAATAAGATATATACCATGCTTGTTTAAATATCTCAAAATGGAGTCTGCTGTCTTGTATAACTAAAAAGAAAGTGTACTAGCCGAGCTGTCCTCCCTTTGCCAGGGTGTGGGTCAGCAGAGAGGCCAAGGTCATTAGTCTTGACTCGGGGACCCTCCAAGGGACTCTGCAGTGCTTGCATGCAACTCGTCATTTATCTTTTACTAAGGATGCCATCCGCTTCCCACATGAGATTCTGTGTCAGTTTTACACCATCCACTAGAGAAGTCAGGTCCACAGCTGGTTCTGTCTGCAACATAGTAAACTGTGCGCATGAATTTTGTTCACCGAAGCCCAGTGTAATTCCTTTTAACTCAGCACACCTAAGCGTGAAATGAAGTATGTGCTGTGGACATGGGAACAATAAATAAGAAAAGGTGGAAATGGCACCAGTCCCACCACCACCATTCCCAACCTCATCCTGCCTGGAGTGTAAGCTAGAATCCCAGGGGCCCTAGCATCTGGTTCTGCATAGCAAAGGGAGACGAACAGTAAGAAGTTGGATTGCTGATGCAGAAGAGCCTGGGTCTGGGATTCACATCCCAGTTCTGTCCAATTTTATAGCCAAGCCTCTTTCCAGGTACAGCAAAACCGTCTGTTTGGGTTTCAGAGCTGCCTGCCGAGATGCAGATACCGTGCTGTGATTGGATRGTCCTTGTTGTTCCAACACCACATGCATCTGAGAAACATGGGCCCCCATCAGGTGAAGCCACCCTGAGGGTTCTAGGACACTTGGTGCCTGCCTTCCCAGGAGCTGCTGTGACCAGAGAGCCCTGGAGTCTCCTTGGTGGGAAAGGTGGGCTTCAGCTTACAGTGGCACAGGGCTTTCTCTTCCAGCAGGAAATCTTCAGTTGCACCCTCAAATTATGTCTCACTCTGTTTAATCTCATTCCCTGACAGATAATAGGAATTCAGAGGCAAACAGTGCCAGAVGAAATGTTTGTAATGGCTTCARCACAGCCCTGGAGTCGACCAGATACCGAAGCATAGTGATGTGGGGCCCACCAGACTGAGGATGGAAGTCTAGCTCTGTTCTTCAGCTCTCCCCATTCTATGATGTGGATAATCAGAGCACCTATCTGCTACGCCGACCCCTCCCTGGTGAGTGTGGCCCGAGCAAACCCTCCCAGACACCCTGTAGGTGAGTGTGAGTTGCCCTTCTGTATGTTCGTGGGATGCTGTGGCTTAAACTCTGGCATAGTTCTTCTCCCACCGCACCAGAGTGCGGGGGGAGGTCCTCAGCCTGCAAAGGTACTGCCTAAGTCATCCCTGCATGCTCCTTCCCATCTCCTTGCCCAGCAAGTGGTTAGAACTTGCTTATTTAGTGATTGAAGAACTTTGAGCAAAGTTACTTGGACAGAAACGGATAGCTGTTATAGTTACAGTTATTTCTGCAGCAGAAACGACAATGAACAAAGGGTTCCCCTGTGCTTGGATTGTCTTCTGCCAGGGTGGAAAGGAAGATYGTGGTTTCATCCCATGTCTAATTCTGGAACTCTGAGGAAAGAGGTTCCAAATATTGTGAGTATATGTTGGGCAGTCTCTTGGTCCATCAGGCTCCAGTCTAGCCTCCCAGTAGTATTGCTCTGGTCCGTCACCAGAGTTTCTCAAGTGTCCGGTGCACATAGTAGACCCCTGTTCAGCAGGAGCACTACTGAGTGAATTTGGGCCTGGTATTTGAGTATGTGGTACTGTGGCCAGAGCAGAGATGTCCCTTGAGACAAGGCTGTGGACAGTATGAAGATGCCAGTGAGGTCCCCATGGGCTCTCTCAGCCTTACCTGGTTGTGGTCCTAGCTTTTTGCCCAAACCCTCCTGTTTGCTGATTTCTCTTGCCCCACCTCTCTCCTTTCCCCACACCTTGCYTTGCCTGGGCATCTGTGACCCTCTGTTGTCCTTTACTGTCCGGCTGATAGAGCTGAAGCTTCTTCGTCCCACAGCAGCCTGGCTCTCTGACCCTCACACTTTCAGCCTTCTGCTCAGCTCTTCCTCACTCCAGGCTGCTCTGGTGTCCTTGCAGTGTGTCTGCACTGTTTCGGCAAGCTCTGCCTCAGACACACTTCCCAGCTGTTCTCTCTGTGTGGAAAACCCTGACCCCCAGGTGTCTGCTTGACTGAATCTTCTTCCTCTTCTCATCTGTGTCAAAATGTCTCCTTCTCCATGGGGACTCTAGTTACTCTGTTTGATACTCGCACCTGCAGCTTACTTGTCCATTTCAATATTTCTGATTCAATAGCATTTCTTCCTCTCCCTACCCTGTCTCTGAAAAATCATTTGTTAACTTATTAAAGGTCATGCTCTGTGTTTGGAGACTTTCCAAAAAAAAAAAAAAAAAAAACAGTCCAGGCCTTCTCGTCTTTCGTAAATCAGAAACAGAGCTGATTTCATGCTCATCCTGCCCAGAAGGCAGTTCCTTTTCTCAGGGTTTGCCTGTTAATAGAAACCTAAAGGACCAGTAGGTAACCTGAGAGGGTTCAGGTGCCACCTTGGAGGCACTATCTTTTGTCCTTCCAGAGTGGTTTTGAAGGGTCGGTTTGGTCCCTTTGCCATAACCCTGATCCGAGTCAACCCAGCTGACCTTTAACAGCACTGAAAGGTACCAAAGAAGCCACTAGGGTAGCTAGAGATTGACGAGTCTTACCTTAATATCACAAGATTTTTAGTACTTRCTGATGGGAGCAGATTTTGCTATCTTGTAGCAAATTTTACCTCTCCTTCACTTTAGCTATCGTGAAAAGAAATACCATTCTTCTGTGATTTTCAGTTAGTTCCTTCAGTTGTTAATTTTTTAGATGACACTGAGTGGGCATTTCCACTATGGTGCAATATGTTCTTTGCAAATAGCTCTTTAAATTCTTCAGCTAAAATCATCTTTTAAATCATAACCTTAGAAACCAGGTAGTAGCTTTCTCACCTCTTCAGTTTCCCTAAGGCATCGGTATCATGCTGTCACATATGCATATGTGTGTGTACCATGTATATCTTTATCTCATGTCCTGCAGCTGGCCTTCATGGCATGCCAGCTAAGAAAAATGCTGTCACCCATGGTGATGGGTGTTTTCAGGCTTGGGTAGTAGGTGAGTTTCTGTTGACAGTCTTAGTAAAACACAAAACTCCTCATTTGTTTTCTTCAGCGTTCCTCCCAGTTATACCTTTATACTTTGATTAGAATATGACGACTTGGAGATTTTGAACAGCAAGCTTCTGGGTGGGAATCAGGCCCTTTAAGTCATGTGTTAGCTGTGCAGAGAGAGAGAGAGAGAGAGAAGGATTATGGGACAACAGCAGGGAAGGAGGGTAAGAGAAATGTGAAGTTCACTGGGAGCACTAGAAGACAGCAAGCCTTCCAAAGGTGTTACCAGTGTCTCGTGACAGCCTAGGCCATGACCATGGTGAAGGCAGACACTGGCAGGAGCACCATAGCTACGGCTCCCATTCACCTCGACATCTCTTCAGTCCATTCTGCACTATAACCTGTGCTGCACTTACAGTGACGGAGCATAGGCTGCATTATGAAACAGGTCTAGAGTAGGTTCTTTAGGCCTTCAACACTTACGAAGAGTATGTTATTGTTCTCCTGGACGTGCCCATTCAGGGCCACAGTCCCATTCTCTTTGCTGCGGCTGATGTAGATGTCCCTATCATTGGAGACAAATGTGAAGCAGGAACTCTACCTCTGAGTCACATCCCCAGGTCCCTGGGCAGGGATTTCTGTTAATTCTGTTCCCAGATGAACCCTAGCTCTGCAAGCTTCCCTGGCTCAGAGAAGACCATCCACAGGGTTTGTCGCTGGAAGGGTCGTGTGTCCTTTCCCACTGGACTGAGACCCTGTTGGGTCCTAGTTTCCCCCATCTGGTAGTGGCCTCAGTGTGCTCAGGCCATGTCGCTGTGTGGCAGCAGCTGCGTCAGTCTGAGGCACAATTATTGCCGAACAGTTCTGTCATCTGAGTCTCAAGGCTGCCCGGTTTCGTTTCAAACCCCACACACTGACTTTCCAGAAATTTTAATTTAGTCAGCATTTTGGCCCTAGTTTGGAGCCTCAAGTCATTCCTTGAAGTGGTAAGTTGAAAACAAACCGCGTCACCTTAGGAAACACTCGGGAGAGCAGTGTGATTAATGTGGTTGGGTGACTATGAGATGCTTTGAACTCTGTGTGTGAGCTTGTTTCCCTCGTCCCTTTTTCTCATTTTCAACCTTTTTTTTGTGTTTCAAGAGTAAGCAGAAGATTTCTACCTCCCCCAGTGCTCAGATGACTTGCCCCCAAAGGATCTCACTGTTAAATAATAGTGAGACGATTCCCATGCCTGTTACAGAGGGGAGGCTCAACACACATCCATGAAGTTCCCATTGGCCTTATGGAATTGGAGAATAAGAGAAGCTAGAGACGTCATGGGGTGTGACTCCCTTTCCCCTGRCCCTGCAGGTGAGAAGGCTTCCCCAGACTTCACCCCTCCAGAGACTGGCAGCTGGGCTCCACAGCGAATAGTGCTCTGAGGCCAAGGTGCAAGGTGAGTCCCACAAAGCTCACTTATCATTAAGAAGGAAGTTTCCCCAGCATGTGATAGACAAGGTGCTCTTGTCTATGATCCTGAAGGCACTGTCCTCGATACTCTGCAGGTTTGGGAACACATGCGGTAGAAGCAAGGGGTTGCTTGTCCTTCAACAGAGGGTGTTTTGGAAAATGGCTAAAGCTTCCTACTCTGGTTCAATTGGCTTGAAACACTAATCCTGGCAGTTGAAGAGAACATCCCATTCTCCACTTGGCTTGTTATCTCATTGTGCGCAAGGTGGAGATGGCTTGGGTCGTTATCAGGAACCTGTCATGTCACCACGTTCCAAGTTACCAGAGAAGGAACCAAGAGTTCTGTCTCTGAACCTCTCTCTCATGTAGCAGTGTATAACGTGTGGTTAGTGAGAAGTTAATACCATGAAACCAAGGGTATCTTGGAGATGGAGGTGATCTTATGCGATAGTTCACTATCATCGGCCCAACCCATGTTTCTGGTAAATGATCTGCGCACTTTCATCCTGCATTTCCTGCTGGTCAGTAGGGCCCATCCTCTTTCCCTGGCCAGAGATGGCCTTTCATGGCATCCCTTTCTTTTCCCCAGCCCCAACTTCTGATTTCAGATGTGTYCAATGGGAGGAAGGGTCCGAAGGGGTCTGGATACAGTGCCGTCAGTGCTTCTCAGGTAAAAGTCCCATAGAGGTTCAAAGGTGCTCCCAAGAGCTAGTGTCTTCTCTTACCCAGCAGTGTCCTGGGATCCAGGCCCTTAATTGTGTGGGTGATGAGCTGCAGCAGTGCCTCTGCCTTGGTTACTTTCTGGGTGTCGTGAGGCCTAGAAGGAAGCAGACCATAATATCCCAGGACAAGATGGGTATGTCCCGTTCGTACTTGGGTGGGGGGCCCATTTTCCCTTGTCACTGAGATTTCCTCAGCTGTGGCTGAGGGAGGTGCCTTGTCTTTCTAAAGAGCAGCAGGATTCTCAGCCCAGGGCAGGGTCTGAAGGAAGCTGACTAAACTGAACATTTAGATAAGGAATGTGGGCTTTGGGGAGCTGAAGTGAACGAAGTCTCAGGATAACCTCTCACTGTTTCTGGACAGTTGTGAAAATGAAACATCAGGAGGAGGTCAAAACCCTCCTGTCTGAACTTGGGAATGTGACAATGTCTCTCTTCCCAGAGTGGAACCTACTCATAGCTCAGGTGTTTGAGACCCTGGAATACTGAACAAAAGGCAGACCATGCCTGTCTCTGTGACACAGATCTTCCCTCAGCTCAGAACCATCATGCCTTGGACATGAAATTCCAGCTACTTCAGGGACCTCACCCTATAAGTCACCAAACCCCAAGTATCCCAGTGCCGCGCAGAACCCAGAACGCAATCCAGGAAAGCACAACTCACAGACCTCAAATCTTTGGACACGCAATACCTCACACTTGACTGAACCTAGATTGCTCAGCTCCATGAATGAGGCCAGGGACTCAGAAGAGCCCTGAGATGTCAAGTTCTGAAGTRTAGACTCAACTGCATGCCAACAACTTCATAACTCACGACTTAAAAACCCAAATAGCTCCCAGACCTCCCACCCTGGACATACAAATCCACMAAAGCTTGGATCCCTACCCTGGTATGCAGGCACATGCACATCTGAGAGGACTGGTACTGAAAACACAGAGACCTCATGCATGAGGGTATGTGTAACCGACATCTCAGAGAAGTCAGAGCCTGGTGCACAAAGCCCAAAGTTCGCAAACCAGGAAATGGTCAACCCCTCAAAATTGCRGCAACCTCAGTCCCTGGGATACAGACTTATGATTGGGTCACAGAGGTCACATTCAGTATCCAGAATCAAAAAAGATCAGACACCCTTGTTTTGGATAACATCTGTGATCTCATGAGCATAGGGTGAGGAATRTCGGGTTGCATCACATTTTGTACATCGCTACTCTGCAGAGCTCAAACCCTAATTCTGGACATGCAGAACAAAAACTGCAGAGAATGTATATGKTAGACACAGCACCTAAAACAGATCACATACCTCACACACCAGCACACACATTCATAAAGAACCCTGAGATCCTTCACTCCGGGCACAAGCCCCTCAGGGCTCAACAGACCTCACATCCTAGGTGGACATCCTGAAACTAGTCAGACAACTGACAACCTGTAATGGGCCAGGGACCTCTCATTTTGGACACAGACCTTGAAACAACTCAGTTATGTGATGGATGGCCTTAGTGACACCCACAATGTCACTCCTTCCAGGATCCATGCTAGATAGGGCCACAGCCATGTTTCTCCCATTCTCCTGAGTGAGACACGGGGGTGGGATGAAAGAGAAAGGAGGGCCAGGCATGGTGGTGCATGCCTGTAATCTTAGGAGGTAGAGACAGGAGGCTTGTGAGTCCATAGCCAGYTTCAGTAATTTAGCAAGGCACTAAGCAACTCGGTTCAATCCTGTCTGTAAATAAAATACAAAACTTGGGCTGGGGCTCTGGGTTAGTGGTTGATTGCCCCTGAATTCTATCCCTACTACTGAGAGAGAGAGAGAGAGATGGAAATAGGGAAGAATGAGAATGAACCCCTACATCTGGACCCTGGTCCAAGCACCTGAGTATCCTTTTCCAGGGGAAGAAGACCCAGGTTCTGCCCCCAGAGGCTGCTTCTGGGGAATGATTCACATATACCCGGGCCTGATGCACCCTGTAGTCCTGTGCCTATCATAGTGAGAATATGTTCTAGGTAAGAAGTCTTGTGCCATCCTGGAGATGAACCCTCACTGCCCTCAGGCCTGAGATGCCCTTATGCCACAGAGTCATTGTTTGGGTAAGGAGAGGCTGAGTGTGCCCCTGTCAACCACGATGGTCTTCTGGTGGTTACAGCAGATCTGATGCTTCTGGGAACCCGCCTCCAGCTCAACAATGGACCTCCTGCCCAGCATCCTGTTCACCCTGAATGGTGTCTTTCTGACTCTTGAGCATGTGGATCCAGGAGCCCCCTGATTTCCTCTGCCCCCCTCATCCCTGAACAGATGGCCCTCTGCAGATCCTTTGAGCATGAATGACCCAAGATGAAAGGGGCACATGGTGAAAGTGTTTGCCGCAGAGTGCCAGGGCTCTATGGCACCGACCATACACCGATATGGAGGGGTGCTACTGTCCCTCTGACCCCACCCCCTCATCAGCCCCTCACTCCCAGTCCTTTCTGTTTTCCTCTGAGTATGCTTGTCCCCTTCCAATTCATAAATCAGGTATAAAGGGAATGGGGTGTGAGGGTCTCTGTACTTACACATAGCTTGGTGTAATTTGACATAGTACAGATATCTTTCCACACATACACCAGGAGAGCAACCCTGGGGTAGGGCTGTTTGTTCATGGGCAGTCACAGCTGGGAGGCTGTGCTGTTTTGGGTGTGAGGCTGATGTGGCCTTCCTGGTGGGCCTCATCTTCTTGGGAGACACACACACTGGCTCATCTCTGATCCCCTGGTGGATCTCCACTCCCTGAGGACTCAGTCTCATACCTACAGCGTTTCTGGAGATGTTTGAACAAAGTCAGGGCTTAATTGATGCCTGGTGATAAATTCGTTCCCTTAAGAATCCACCTAAGCCCTAATTACCAAGATGCTCTCAACATCTCTGCTGCCTAATGCCTAAAAACACATCATTTAAGCATTTACTTCTTTTTATGGATCAGGTTGCTGTCTCCCTGGAGGAATCGGGACTGGTTCTGGAGGAACCCAATCCTCTTTGAACTGCATTCACAGATTTCTGACTGTGAATGGTTTTCTTGGTGTGTCTGTAAACTGATAGTGGGCTTTCAGATCAATATAATGGGATCCATTAGGCATTTTTTAACGAGCCAGTGATCTTACTGACCTGGTAATGCCTTCTGCCTTTTGGACTGGTGAGTTGACTGAGGTTCCAGGGTAGGATCCTGAACTCTCCACATCCACCTCCATCTCCACTATTTGAAGCCCCACCTTTGGGGCTGTAAACTTCCAAACTAGGACAACACCCCTGACACCCAGACCGTGCATGCTCTCTAACCTGGAAGGTCCTGAATGGGCAATCACATCTAAACCAAACAGACTTTAGTGTCATCCTTAATTTCTGCCCTGCTGCTCCACCCCAGAACCATTCACTTAACTCTTCGCCTTTTTTCTTGGATGCACTAGGGTTGGATCTGCAGAGCCAAGTAGCTGGGGCCATAAATGGAATGACAGTGACCTGAGAGTCTTCAGAGGCCTCACCCTGACTGGATGTGTTAAGGTTCCTGCTTGGTGGGAAGCCCATTGCACATGGCGCAGAATGGTTTATTTTAAAATACAAGGCTCCCTTCCCCAGTGGTCTGTCCCAAAGTGTACTGCTTCATCTGGGCCTTTAGTGGTACATTTCAGTGAAGGGAAGTTTCACCCACCCTTTTCATCCAGCCTATTCCTTCTCAGTGTCCCCAGTATTTGCTGATTCTCCCAGAAGGGGCAGTTTCAAGCCATTTCTTTCTTTTTAAAATTGTTTTTATTAGTGCATTATCGTTATACATAATAGTGGGGTTCCTTTGACGTAGTCATATGTGCGTCGAATATAATTTGCTCCATTTCAGTCCCTGGTGCTAATATTAGGCTGTTTCTAATGAGTCTTTTCAACTCTATTCCCTACCCCATCCCTGACAGCACATCCAATGGGTGTTGCCTTTGTGACCTTGACACTGCTCAGTGGACGATTCCATTCCCATCTCACTTCTCCTAATATTGTCTAATGCACGAGTTGCCTATTCCTGTTCTTGTAGAGTGCCTAGTGTAGAGTCCAGCCTCCTAGCTGGAGCCCCTGCCCCGGGAGTGGTACTTAGGATGTCAGAATGGGACATTCCTTCCCCTCATCACTGATGGAACTGTGAATCAACAAGACAACTGCAGGTCTCTGTGTCTGTATCGATCATTACATTCTACCACCTCCCCCTCAGTAGAGGGAGACTGTTGTTCACTATTTTCTTTGCTTTCTCCCCAGCACCTAGAACAGTGTCAGGCACCGAATAGGCCCTCCATTGATGTTGGTAAGGAAACATCCTTTGACCTGGCAATTCCATGGCCAACGGTATGTCCTAGGAATGCATAGTTTGTCCTGATCACAGTGCCTTTCTCCATGGCATCGTATTAATGGAGAGTAGCAAGAAGGAGGTGCTCATAACCTACCCATTGTGTGTGTTTTCATGCACGTGCAAATGTGTGTGTGTTTGTTAACGTGTATATGTGCACACTTGGGAGCACGTGTGTATGCATGCATGTATGTACACAGATCTCACATGCATGGACTAGAAGACTTACTATTAGTGTCAGTTATACTCCCCAAGGAGATCTTATGACTCGTTGCAATCCCTATCAAAATTCTAATTACTTATCTCCCTAAATTACAAGACGGTGCTATAATTCTAATGAAATTAAAGTCTCCTGCAAAGAGGATATAGAGAAAAAGGAACACTTTTACACTGTTGGTGGGGTTGTAAATTAGTGCAACTACTATGGAAATCACAGTGGCGGGCCCTGAAAAGACTAGGCATGGAAATCCCGTATGACCCAAGTATATCACTCCTTGGTATTTTTCCTGAATTAAAATCATACTATAGTGGTATGTGCATACCCATGTTTATAGCAGCACAACTCACAATAACCAAACTATTGAACTAGCCTAGTTGTCCAGTGGTTGAATGGGTAAAGAAAATGTGGTATGTGTACTCAATGGAGTTAATTATTAAGCCATAAAGAAAAGTGAAAGTATGTCATTTGCAGGAAAATGGATGGAACTAGAGACATGTTAAGCAAAGTAAGTCAAACTCCAACCATAAAAGGAGCTATGTTTTCTCTTATATGCGGAAGCTAGAGAGGAAAAAGGAAAAGAAAGGTGGAAATGAAAGTTTGGTCTGTACAGGAAAGGGACCAAGGCGTGGGAAGTGGGGATGGAGGGAGGGAGTGATATTGGCCAAATTATATTGTTGTGCGCATGTACAAGTATGTACCATCAAATACCACCATTATGTACAATTCTAAAGCCCTAATAAAAATGTAGGGGAAAAAGGCTTCCACAATAGCCAAAAGAATCTTGAAACACAACAAAGTTGCAAGATTCACCCTCCCTGATTTGAAAACCTACTATAGATTTACTGCAATCAAGACAGAGTGGTACTGACATAATTTTAGATAGTGGTGAAAAATGGAGTTTTCTGAAAGCCGTATTTCTGAGGTCAACTTATTGTTGTCAAGGATGAAAAGCCTGTTACCTAGTAAAAAAGTCTTTTCAGTGGATTGTCCTGGCATAACCTGGATGTCCATACACAAAGGAATGAATTTAGACCTGTATGTCACGCTGTCTACAATTAAAATGAATTACAGACCTAAATGTAAGACTTTAAAATTATCGGAAGGAAACAGAGACATAAGTCTTCAAAAACCTTGGTTTGGGCAACAATTTACTAGATGTGACATGGATGCACAAACAACCAAGGCAAAATAGATAATGTGCCTCACCAAAGTTTGAACTTTTATACTTCAAAGAATACCATCAAGAAAGTGAAACGTCAACCCAAAGTATAAGAAAAAAGTTTTGCAAATCATATGTGATAAAGTCCTATCTATAAAACACACACACTCACCTCTCAACTCAATAGAAAAGAAAACCCAATTAGAAGATGGGCAAAGAATCTAAATACAGTTTGTCCAGAGAAGATATCCAAATGCTGATAAGCACATGAAAAGGAACTCCATATCATTAGCTTCAGGGAAATGTATCTATGAATCATGTTGAGATAGCACTTCACACCTGCTAGGATGTTTTCCAAAAAACACGTTGGTTAAGTATGTGAAGAAAGTGAAACCCTCATAAGATGCTGGTTGGAATGTAAAATGATGCAGTCACTTTGGAAACAGTTCCACAGAATTAAATACAGAGCATCATGTGGCCTGGAATTCCACTTCTTGGTACATATCCCCCCAAAATGAAAACATGTCCACACAAAAACTTGTGTATGCATGTGAATTGGGAAGACAACCTCAGGTCTCTCTATATCTGTCAGTACTAAATTAAACCATCTCCCCCTCAGTAGAATTGTATATTGTTGGCTCTATTTCTTTCTCTTTCCCTATCACCTAGAATAGTGTGAGGCACAAAGTAGGCCCTCCATTGATGTTAGTTAGGAAAGAGTCCTTTGACCTGGCAATTCTATGTCCAAAAATGTGTATTAGAGAAGCAATTGAAAATCTGTACAATGGTATGAAGAGGACATTACTTGTGGGGATAATAAGCTTAAATAGTTAATGATTGTAGTCAAGGTAAGTGAGAGATGAAATGTTCATATTGTGTGATGTAACATCCTCTGTACTTGAACCAGATAAAAGAACTGGTTTATCCTGGCCATAATGCTTTTTTTCATGTCATGCTGTTAATGGGGATTGGTCATTAGGAGATACGCACACACACACACACACACACACACACGATGCTTACAAATGCAGAAAGCAAGGCCAACAAAATACCTAAAGTGATTGCAGCAGTCTCCTCTGATGATTATACTGATAGAGGCAAGATACGGACTGCTTATTTCATTTTTTGATATAGTAGATTGTATTTGCCAAAAATCATCAAAATATACAAGTTTACATGTAGTTTTCCTTTTTTAACATTTAATGTTATAAAGCTATAACTCAAGTACTGTAATATTCAAAAGGTTGTGAGCCATCACAGTAACCATTTCTAGAATGCTATATTCTGAATGATTGTCTGCACCTAAATTCATATTGAAGTTTATTCTTAAATGAGGCAGTATTGGGTGTGGTGGGTCCCTTAAGAGTTATTTAGGTGATGGGGCTGTGTTCTCATGGATAGACTAATTTTTTTTTTTATTTTAGGAATGGATTTGCTATAGAAGAAGTTGTGTGTTTTCATCTCTGCTACCTCACCAGAAATCAAGAAGATGCTGGCACGATGCTACTAGACCCCTGAGCCATGAACCAAAGTAAAACTTTATTGTTTGTTTACATTACAGTCTTAGATATTTTGCAGTAAAGAATGGATTAAAACATAGGACCCACCCCATACTGTTAACATCTCTTCCCCCTTCTCTATTCCCTTGTCATTCATGTAATTATCATCTTCTTTTATTTACGGATTTGTGGATTCTATACATTTTATGTAAATAGAATCGTATACTGGTTCCTTTTGTTTCTGGCTTCTTTCAGATAGTATAATGATTTTCAGTTTTCATCCGTCTTGAAGTATATATCAGTACTGTTATGGCTGAAAAATATTTCATTATGTGGATATACTACCACATTTGGTTTATATATTCATTAGTTGATGGACATTTGGGGCTGCTGATAGTCTTTGGCTATTATGAATAATGCTGCTTTGTACATGTATGTACAAGTTTCTGTAAACACATATTTTCATTTCTCTTTGGTATGTACCCAGGAGTGAAATCACTTGATCATGTTTAACTTTTTGAGGAAAAGCCAAACTGTTTTCTGTAACAGCTGTACCATTTTGCATTCCCACCAGTTTCTCCACATCTTTCTCAACATGTATTACATGTCGTTTTTTAAAAATGGCTTTTAATATATTGGAGAATGTATTGCCTACTCCAAAGTCACAATAATTTATTCCTGTGCTCTCTTACAGGAGTTTTATAGTTTTAGCTCTTACCCTGGGATTTTGATTCATTTTTGCTAATTTTTGTCTATAGTATGATGTCAGAGTTGAAATTCATTCTTTTGTATATGGATAGCCAATTGTCCCAGCAACATTTCCTGATAATACTCTTTTCCCACTCAATTATCTTGGCATCCTTGTCAAAAATTAAGTCACTGTGTATGTGGGTTTATCTCTGGATTCTTTTTAAAAAAAATATTTATTTTTTAGTTATAGGTGGACACAATATCTTTATTTTACTTTATGTGGTGCCGAGGATCAAACCCAGGGCCTCACACATGCTAGGCGAGTGTTCTACCTGTGAACCACAACCCCAGCCCTGGCTAAAACTGCTTCTTTTAAAGTTATACTACATACAATTTCCTTTTGAAGGATCAACCTCTTTTACCTTTTATTGACCTGCTTGGGACTTTATATGAGGTTTTATAAACTCAAATAATTCTAGATAAGTATTTAATATTTTTTAAATAATATTGCTATAATTAGGAGATCTTTGATCAGAAGGAAATTTGGATCCACACAAAAAACTGAATAGTGATAGAGCAAAATTGTGAAAAAAATATAATTTTTTCTTTTTTGCACTGGGGGTTAAACCCAGGACTGCTTAACCACTGAGCCACATCCCCAGCCCATATATATATATATACCACAGCCCATATATATATATATATATACCATTTTTTTTTTTTTTGGAGACAGGGTCTCACTAAGTTGCTTAGGGCCTCATTAAGTTTCTGAGGCTGGCTTTGAACTTGTGACTCTTCTGCCTCAGCCTCCGCAATCACTGGGATCACAGGTGTGTACCACTGCAGCCAGCCAATTTTTTTCTCTTAGAGAATCTCTTTAAAAGAAAATTGTCAAAAAACTAACAGTGTACTGTGGGGTTTTGACATGTAGAAATATAGTGCAAGATAATAGCACAAAGGAAGGGGGAAAGGAAATGAAAGTAGTTGTAAGATTCTTAGAGCATACATGAAGTTGAATTTTACTTGAAGTCATACTGTGATAAAGGAACAATATATATTGTAAGCTATGTAGCAATAGTACACATAATAGTTTTAAAATGTTCAATGATCCAATAAAAATAAAGAGGAAAGTCTGAATAAAAGACATAATAAATAGAAAAATATGGCCAGATGGAAGATTTAAATGTAAAACTCTTTATACACTAAATGTGCACTTCTTCTACTGTCAGTTAAAATATCTAAAATGTTAGTTGGAATAAAAATAGCAAGACTTAACTATATACCATCCAAAAGAATCCTGTTTTAAATATTAATAAGTTTAAATTACTGGAAATTATATTCCCAGAAGATATGAATCAAATGAAAGCCAAAAGGCTAAATTAATATTCAAACATACTTCAGAATGACTATTACAAGGGGTAAAGGTGAATGTTACATAATGATAGGCATATTCATTTAAAGGACATAAAAATGATGAATGGGTATGCATCTTCAAAATGCAAGAGCTAAAGCCAGATGTGGTAGCACATGCCTGAAATCCTAGGTATTCAAGAGCTGGAGGTTGGAGGATTGCATGTTCAAGGCCAGCCCAGACAACTCAGTGAAAACCTGTTTCAAAAAAGGGTTGGTTATGTAGCTCAGTGGTTCGATCCCCAGTACCAGAATAAAAAATGCAATAAGTAAAAACTGATAGAATGGGCAAGGAGAAATAGATAAATCCAAGTTATATTTGAAGACCTCAACATTCCTGTGTCAGCAATCAATAGTAGAAGTGAACCCCCCAAAAAAATCAAGAATGCATAAAAGACTTCACTGACAAACTTGACCTAATTGATATTTATAGACCCACAACAGCAGAATACACAAACTTCAGATGTGCATATTCACCAGTAAAATATTCACCAGTAGACCATGTTCTGGGGCATAAAGTAAATCTCAACAGCTTCAAAAGGATTGAATTCATAGAAGTATTCTCTCTGACCAAAAATAATTAAAATAGAAATTAGAGCAAGAGGGCTGAGGATATTACTCAGTAGAGTGCTTGCCTAGCATGCACAAATCCTTGGGATTAATCCCTAGCACCACCAAAAAAAAAAAAAAAATAGAGCAAGATATCTGAAAAATCACAAAATAATTTGATATTAAATGACATTTCTACATAATGGTGAGATCAAAGAAGAAATCACAGAGAATTAGAAAGTAAAAACATAATTTCTGAAGCAAAAGAAGTGCATAGAGGAAAATTTGTATCATTAAATCTTTATATTAAAAAAGAAGAATGGCAGCTGGATAAGATGGCACATAAATATAATCTCAGCTACTTAGTAGGTTGAGGCAGAAAGATCACAAGTTCAGTGCCAGGCTGGGCAACTTGGCAAGACCCTGTCTCAAAAAAGGGTGGGGGGGCCAGGCGCAGATTACACCAGTAATCCCAGCGGCTCAGGAGGCTGAGGCAGGAGGATCTTAACTTCAAAGCCAGGCTCAGCAACAGCAAGGTGCTAAGCAACTCAGTGAGATCCTGTCTCTAAATCAAATACAAAATAGGGCTGGGGATGTGGCTCGGTGGCCAAGTGCCCCTAAATCCAATCCCCCAAAAAAGTAAGGGAGGCTGGGATGTAGTTCAGTAGTAGAGCACCCCTGGATTCAATCCCCACTAACACACACACACACACACACACACACACACACAAAATGATGGAGAAGTGTGGCCTCAATTAGCTAAGCTTCCACCTACAGAATCTAGGGGAAGGGGCTGGGGTTGTAGCTCAGTGGTAGAGTGCTTGCCTAGCACGTGTGAGGCACTGGGTTTGATCCTCAGAACTACATACATACATACATACACACATACATACATGCATACATAAATGATTGATTGATTGAGTCCATCTAGAACTTAAAAAAAAAGATTAAAAGAATGTAGGGGGAAATAATCAAACCCAATACAAGCATGTCGAAAAAATAATGAAGATCTGAGCAGAAATCAATTAAATACAAATCACAAAACTGATTGATGGGACCAAATTTGGCTCTTTGAAAAGATCAGTAAATTTAATAAGTTAGCCAGTCTGATAAGAAAAAAAAAACTGGGGCAGGAGTATGACAAAAATGATCATTATCAATAATGCAAAAAAGGACATCAATATAAATCTTTCAGGTATTAAGTGGATTATAAGGGAAATATTATTCAAATAATTTCCAAAAATTATACTTAGATGAAATGGGAAAATTCCTTGAAAGACACTAGCTAGCAAGTCTTACTCAAGAAAAAACAGATAACATGAATAGCTTAATCTCCACTGAAGAGATTGAATTCACCTAACATTTATGGAAGAAATAATGTCAGTTATCTACAAACTCTTCTAGATAATTTAAGAAATCAGATATCCCAAAGCATTACCCTGATATCAAACCCAGACAAAAATATTTTAAGAAAATAAAATTATAGACCAATATAACTCATGCACATGGAAGCAGTCATTCAAAATAAAATGTTAGCAGTCTGAAACTAGCAATATATTAAAAGACAAAATGCTATAGCTGAATGGGGTTTACTTCACAGCTTCAAGATTGGCTGAACATGTGGAAATCAATATATAATTCACCATAACAACAGACTAAAATACAAACATCTCATAAATGGATAGAAAATTGATGAAATTCAACATAATGTAAATTCTCAGCAAACTAGGAATGGAGCAGAACATCCTTACACTGATGATTGGCATGTACAAAAATATCTAAAGGTAACATAAGCCTTAATTGTGAAACAATGAATTCTTTCCCTCTTAAGAGTGGAAGTAATGCTAGTGGGGCACAGCAACCCCTGCCTTTGATCCCAGCAACTTGGGAGACTGAGGCAGGAGGATGGCAACTTTGAGGCCAGTCTCTGCAACTTGGACACTGTGTTAAAATAAAAAGGGTAGGAAATGTAGTTTAGTGGTAGAACACTCCTGGGTTCAGTCCACAGTGCAAAAACCAAAGATTGAGAATAATGCATAATGCAAGGATGTGAATACTTTTGTCAGTTATATTCGATATTTCACTGGCTGTTCTAGCCAATAAAATAAGGCAAGAAAAAGTAAAACAGTTTTGGGCTGGGGATGTGGCTCAAGCGGTAGCGTGCTCGCCTGGCATGCATGCGGCCCGGGTTCGATCCTCAGCACCACATACAAACAAAGATGTTGTGACCGCCGAAAACTAAAAAAATAAATATTAAAATTAAAAAAAACATTAAAAAAGTAAAACAGTTTGTATTTACAGACAACATGTGAATCTATATAAAAGAACCCACAAAAGCCAATTGAATAACTAACATGATACATTATCACAACGAAAACAGTTCAATTGTATTTATTTATACTAGCTACAGACAAAATTGAAATTAAAAAAAATAAATGTCCTTTACTATAGCATGAAATATTTAGTGATACTTTTAATGAAATATGTGTAAGACTTGTACACAGAAACCTACAAAACCCCGTTGAAAGAAATTGAAACAGTCTTAAATGGAAACTTATACCACATTAATGGTTTGG